GGCGTCTCCCGCCGCGGGGCCCCGCTGCCGGTGAGGGCGAGGGGACGGCGGGTGATCGCGTGAGGCGATCGGGAAAAGGCGCCGCAGCGCCTCCGGGGTTTTTCTGTGAGGGCGAGGGTGGCCCTGAGAGATGTTTGCTCCTTGTGGTGGGCGAGGGGCTCTGCTCGTTGGCGTGAGCAGGAGGATAAGGCTGCGCTATAGCCGTTCCTAAAATTCTGGTCAAGTCGCTGTTGTGGGCAATATAATACTGTATTTACTATGCGCATACTTTTGCTGTGCTCGGGTACAGATGAAGAGACTTATTTACTTAAAGAACAGGCTGTAGGAGGATGAATAATTCAAGAGGCAGAGCCCTTCTGGGCTGAGGTCCTGGTCCTGCTTAATCCGACTCTGTGTACTCGCCTTACGTTGTAGTGACTCACCGTGCAAACAGGTCTGTGAGGTGGCCACCGAGTCGGCGGGAGTTACTGCAGAGCTTAAAGTGACTTCTTAAGACTGGAAAAACTCTTCCAGACTAATGATCCCGATGGCTTTCTATTCTGCCTCTCACATAAAGACAGGTAAAGCTATTGTAAAGACATAAAGACAGGTAAAGCTATTGTAGCTGTCCCAATAGCACTTTAATATAGGTCTGAAGTGACTTATTTATAGCTATGCCACCGTAATATACAAAACTTTGCATTTCACATTAGTTGTAATAACATCATTGGAACTGGGATAGTCTGGGACAAAAAATGAGGTATTTTAATAAGGGATTTATACCGTCATACTTTTGTTTTCCAACTTGTATCAATTGGGCTAATGACAGGTCAACTTCTTACCTGTCACCGAAAGTAAGTTTTTGGGGTGGAAGTTGTCGCCGTAGTTTCACATAGGCATATCTTGCATGTAGAAGGCCTGCATTAAAACGAATGAAACTGACTTGCCACATACTTGTGCAAGAAGAGCAGCACAATTATTATAGAAATAGTTATTTCAGAAACCAATGTTACATGTCATTATATGAGCGAACAGGAAAAGATTATGAAGTATTAATGGAGAACTCCCTGTTAATTTAGAAGTAGTGTATCTCAGTGGCTAGTAATAATTGAAAGAAAAGTAGGGAAAAGGTATGTGTAATTTTTCCGTATGTTATGTAATGACAGTATAATTTCAGATATCTTATAAAAGTACCAACAAAAATCAACCCAAACCCCAATACATTAAATGGGCTTTCAAAATTTCTGTACAACTGCACTTTCTCTTGCCTAGCCCAGGGCGACTTTGTTTCCTCCACAAAGTTATCCTGAAAGGTGCTTACAGCAATCGTGCAGTTTACTGTTTTAACCCTTATATTCACACACACACACCCCCCTTGTCTCTTTTGTTAAGTAATTGTTAAGTGAACCTATTGTGAAATAAGCTTAGATGTTAATTTAAAATGCAGTAGCTATTCTGCACTGACTTGCCTTGTGGACACATGTTCTTCTTGAAGAATGCCTTTTTGTGGTTTAGCTCAATCCACCTCAAACCACACAAAGTCACCCTTCATGTGAAATAAAACCCTCCACGCAAGCAGGCCATTGTGGAATAGTTGTTACATAACAGGTATTAGGGGTTGTTACCACATATAAACAAGGCTAAATCAACCTGGGTGTCATCATTTTAAAGTCAGTCGGAGATGGAGCAGAGATGAAATGGGAGATGCTGGAAGATGGTTGTGGTCGTTGTTAACAAACCATTTCTGCTACCCAACTAGGTAGTGTCACTCAATTGAGTCTTACTTCACTGAACGGATACTCCCCCCAAGTCAAGGTTTACTCTGACCGACTTGAGGCAAGTCTTAGGAAACAAAAACTTTTCTTGGCCACATGGTGGTGAAACAGGGCAATTAACAGTCAGAATACAGTATAACTGTTAAACAGGTATTCTTTTATTAGTGGCTCTGGGGTCGCCCTGAGGATTCTCCACCATAAGGACGCCCTAGAATTAGCAAGGGACATCAGTTTACATACACACAAATCATACATATTCATTAGATTTCCTAGAAAGGGGTGTTTTATGATAATGAGTTTCCAGAATTCATTTGCATAATCCAAGCATGCCTAGTAAAAATAGGGTGAAGGTCTTTGGTGGTTGAGGGAGGAAGTAAGTAGTCTTCATGGTGTTTGCTAGTTGATCCTCTTTCACAGCATACACTGTGAAGTAAAGTCCAGGTATCTCCATCGTAAGTCAGCAGAATCAGTTTCTGTATAGGGTTTCTGTGTCTCTTTGTTAGAGCCCCCTTATCTCATTCTAGGAGTTGCCCAAGTGTCTACTGAAGGTCTTGAGTCTGCTATCAATGATTAAGGTAGAGAGCCTAATGAGTGTTTCAATCTTATCTAAACAGACAAAGGGACCTAAGAGAACAGTTGAGGAGTCAGGAGTCCTTGAGAAACAAATGAAGCAAAACACAAGCAAAGCTTTGAAACAAATGAAGCAAAGCACAAGCAAAGCTTTAATACATCACAGTTTAGTCTTAATAATGGTTAGAAATTAATTTGTTTGAGCACTTCCATTCCCTTTGATTGGGATTAAAAAGACTTCATCCCATTTAATGCTTTAAAAAAAAAAAAAAAAGGCAAAAAAAGCGCTCATGGATACAAAGCCATTGGATCCCAGAATCATGTGTAAACTTGACAGAGTGTAAAAGTGAAACAATTACATGTTCGGAGTGGTGAAAATCATATTGCCATCCATTGTAGTGAAGCCAATAACAATAGTTAAACACAAAGATCAAAGTCTGGAGGGTTTCTTTTATTTTCTTTAAAGTTGATTGACTGTTAGCTGACTCCATCTTTTTATTCTTGTTTACCTGACCTTAATATGGAAACAATAAACCTTACATATTCTATCTGTACTGTGAGGCTTAAATGTTTTTAAAGTACAAAGTAATCCTGTTCATTTTCCAAGATTTGCTGAGCTCATCGATCATATTGATGAGAATATGTGATAATAGTTCACCGTTTAACACTTCCATGTTCACAGGTAACTCATAATCTTGGCAGATGAGTGCTATTTCTTTGTTATTTTTAATTAGTGTCACTATAATAAGTACTCTTTTTAAATCTGTATAGATGAATAAAACATGTAACTGAAGTGCAGCTGTGGTTTTCTGGTCATCAGAATCGTCTGGGGTATGCATGAGCTCTGAATGACACCAGATTCTTTAGTGTCTCTGTATAGGGTGCAAAGTGGTCTGTGAGGTCTCTCAAGAAACAGCCTTCATGGATTCCATGGATAGGAATGGTCAATTAGATCACTCAAATCCAACACCATTTAAATCTTTTTGATACATTAAGTCTCTTACACAATAGGAAAATAAGATATCATCTTCTGCTGTGGGGAAGCATTTTTCTAAGGGTACAGAAAGGTAGAGAAACATTTTTGAAACTATTCAGAGAATTGATGAAATGTTGCTGAAGGTATCTTGAGAAAAGGTGTGCCTTCTCCCTTGATAAAACTGCCTTATGGAAGAATTCAATGAGTGGTATCTCTACACGTTCTTGGGTAACAAAACCAGTTCACTTGTACAGATTGCAGTGAGAAAAAAAAATTGCAAAATCATCTGTGTGACAGACTGGATGTTTTGGGTTTTCTAAACTGTTTACTAGTCTTCAGTTAAGTTCCTTGCCCTCATTGCTGAGCCAGGAGGACAGACAATTAGAAAGCTCCCTTGTTCACTCGATGCGATGTCAGCTAACAGCCTGAAGTGATGCTGAGTGTAATTTGAGCTGATCCACATACCTTTACATGAAATGTTTTAAGAGCTTGCAGATGATTCATTCTGCCAGCTAAGCTGTGGATGCAATAACTTCAGCAGAGGACAGTAACACGTTAGGTCATTATAGCCATTTGCAATGACTATTTGAATCAGTGTAAGTAATCCAATACATGAACTGAAAAATTTTAGCTTGAGACAGCTGTTGAGGTTGAACTGATCTATTCAGCTGACGTTATGTCAGAGTGACACCATGCTGTAGAGTGCAGTTTAAAGTTGATTTGCGAACAGCTCAACTCCCTGTTGGCTGAAAATGTTGGAAAGGGTAGGCAGCTGGGGAAAGCAAGTTATCGTCCAACTCAAGTTATGCCGTCCACTTCTGAATTGTTTCTGCTCTTGCAGGTTTTATTCATACACATCCTGTTTTGTAAAAAGAAAACTCAGAATGTATCCCTGATGAACTGGGCATTAGCTTGAGGCAGAGGTATTTGGGGGAAAGTTTTGCAGGTGGCCACTTAGCTGACATATGAGACTAACGCCTTCTGGTGCTAATTCCTAACTAATCACAAAGTGGGCTTCATCTGTACAGGTAAGTATACAGATAAGAAGCAATTGCTGCTTTTTACAGTAACTTGTTTTTCTGATGTTGAATGCTTGGGAATGCTCCATCCCACTTTTATTTGTCATTGTTTCAAAACTTCCATCTGTATTCTGACTGGCTAAAGGGCATATGGAGGATTTGGATTTGCTCTGCTGCTTAAAATTTTTGTGATACTAAGGAAACAGATACAAACGTTTAATAATAAATGGAATAAATGGATTTTGTGAGTTAAAACCACTGGTTTTGATATATATTAACACAGAAGACTATCTTTAGGGCACATCTTGAAGAATCACATTCATTTTAAGGTAAATAATTTCTTTTGTTAGTAAAGTGTCAAAAACATACCTTGATATCTGACTTCTGTAAGGAAAACATGGGGTGAAAAGGCTTTTGTATAAATGTTGTTGGGCCTGATCTTTATAACCATTTGGTATTTTGTAAAACCATTAAAATTCATTAAAAGTGAGAACAATATGTTATCATTCTAATCTGATAGTGATTACTACTGTTTGATCATCAAAAAGTTTTACTTATAGTTTTGCTTCCTTCTCTGTCTGTCCCTTTTTGTTATCTGTAAGATAAGAAAGAAAATACTGAAGTGCTCGCTGCAGAGACTGATTTTCCTGTTGTCTTTAGTTTGTGATGGTTTCTTAAATCAAAAAGGTCCAGGTGATGTTCTAGTAACTTTTATATGATTAAATATGGAGAGGTTACATTTTGGTATAGCTACTTATTTAATGTTTATAAATGACCTGAGCATATTGTAGATTAAAACTATCCTGCCGCTATGCAGCATCGTATCAGGATCATATCTTTCTTTTTTTACCGCAGAACAGTTGAGGAAATGAGGAACTTCTGGTTTAGAAGCACACTGCTGGATAAGCATACACATCTGTGTAGGAAATTTCTTTATTGCTCTGTGTGCCATTTCCATTTTATGGTATCTCCCAGTTATACAAAAAAATAGTTTTACTAATAGTCCTTCAGAAATCTGCAACCAGTGGTTTCATACTCTAAGATTCAGTCATGCATGTCTGTATCAGAACAAAAATATCTTGAATTTTCCTGATTTAATATAGAGCATCACCATTCATCTATTGTAGATGCCACTGAAAAGTTTCAATTTTAATTTTGTTGTCATGGCCTGTAGTTGTTGTACATGCTTTGTAACGCTAATTCAAAACAGGAAAGATTGAAGGGTTTTTAAATTAAGAATACCAATAACCTTTAAAGTATTTTTCTTACTGCTGTTTTCTCCACTTTGTCTAAAAAATATTGCAAGATGGGAAACAAAGTTGTTAAATGTAAGCGATCCCTTTTTTTTTTCTTGTTTCACAGCTCGTGAATGGAAATTGGGAACATTTAGTGAAAAGGAAACTATATTTGTAATTTAGATACAATATATTATATCATCCTGAAAAATAAAGGGAAGGAAGAAATGTGGTCACAAATTACTTATTCAAAACACAAAGTGACCTTTGCACAGTCACACAGTAATGCTAAGTTATGTTTCTTTGGTTTAAAGTTGCTGGCAGCAAATGGGCAGGACAAGTGTTTCTGTCTGAACTGGGGGCAGAAAACATATGAGCTTCATCTGCTGAAAATGCTACCATTTGCTGCACCAGAGCAAGAGGCAGCAGTAGGTGACAGACTGTGCTGCACGGGGAAATCCTAATATTCATAGAATATTGCACCTTATTTCTGCTCTTTTTCATACTTGAAATTCAGAATCATTGTAAAACTGCCCTGTTTTCTCATTTATGCATCCTAACCCTAGAAGAGCTAGTGCTAATGGCTAACAGCAGCACAAAGAGAAACCGGTCTTCTAGAATCAGAAAAAAATTGTTCGTGTGAGGGATGTATTTGAGGCTGTGTGAAGTTACACGTAGTATAGCTTCCTTGTATTCCTTCTTGATATGCAACTCCTTGATCAAATAGAATGGAAAAGTACCATCTTGTGGGTTTCGACCTATGTGTTTCTGGGAAAACTCAGTTGGGATGTAGATGAAAGATGGAAGTTGACAAAAGGTGAATAAAGGCAGCTGCGAGCAAGGTGGAAAGTGAATGAGGAGGAACTTCTCTTGCACTGGCATCATGTTTATGCAGTGCTACTTCTGAAAAGCAAGTACTGATTTGTGAAAGAGGACTATGTAGACTTGCAAAGTCTCAAGATAACCAAAGGCATATTTTTAGAGTTCTGTGCAGGGCTCGTTTCAGAGCTGCTGCATATTAGTAGAATACTTATCATCAGTTCAGCATGTGGACATTCCCTTCTGGAGATTTACAGCACTTGGTTGTTATCAGTCAATTATTAACAACTTTGATATCAGCAAATCAGCTGTTGTATTCCACTGGCCCAGAGATGAGAATTTGCAAAGACTTTCACCTGTTTCCTCTAAGGAAAAGAAGAGGGATCGGTAAGCACAACTGGCCTGGAAGGAATTAATGGTGTCGGTCACTGTATTCTAGGAGACTGTGCTTCCCTTTGTTATTATGGGTGATAAAATATTTATTGGACATATGAAACTTAGATGACAACTGTTTTGACTCTCAGCTAAGCAACTGTAGGATAACAGTGAGGGTTGTCTTCTAGAGGCTGATTGACATTTGGTAACTGGAAGGTCTGAGGCAACTAAGCAAACCCAATTGTAATTGCATGCTGTGTTTTACCCAGCATAACTGGGAGGCAGTGAAGAGGCTTTCTGCCATTTCTGAGCAGTGGATGAGACTATCTAAATGACAATCTCTGAAGGCATTTTAGGGAGATCATTTGTACTTTTGCTAAGGAAATGAGATCTTGTTTGGATGCCTTCCTTAGTTCTTTGTGTGGCTTTCTGTGGTGTGCCATGCAGTACAGTACTAACAGGATAGCCCTCTGGGTCACTTAGTGGGTACTGGCTTTGCAAATTGCGTTAATTTTAAATAGAATGGTGAATGCTAAATGACAGGAATAAATAAGCTATATCATAATTCTGGCAAACATGTATTTTTAATTATAAATTTTATTAGCCATACATAACTAATTTGAGAGATCAGGTCTACAAATCAAGGAGCTGTCTGAGTGGACTTGTTAGGTAATTTCTGCAATTAGCCTTTTCTCACAGGTCCCACCACTACTTGTTGGAAGCTGAAACAACACGACAATTTATTTGGGTGTCAGAGAAATGAACACAGGATGTGGTTCTCTGGAACAGACTGGAAGAATTATGGCTGAGGGTCTGCTGGTGATATTTGAACCATAGCTGATAACTCGAAGACGGAGGTGAATGCAGTAGGAGAGAACTGCGATTTTTACAAACAATGCTTTCCAAAAATATGCTCATATTTAACTCCATTATCTAATTCTGTACGTTCCTATTGATTTCTCTGTGTGCCTCCTGCACAGCAAAGCTCCACCCTGCAATTACAAAGTCACCTTTCATAGTGACTTGTGACAGTGTTTTGTTGTTAGGAAGTCTTCTTCCTTGTCTTCTGTGTTCCTTTGAACCTTTGATAATGTCATCTGCTCATTAGCCAATCTGCACCTTGCAACCTTTTCCTTACTTTCATAGTTTGTTTCGTGATAACAGGCAGTTTGAGGGTTGTCTGTGGTTGGCTTGTTTGTTTGTTTTTTAATCGGGCTGGTTTTCCCCCTGAAGTCTTCAGGTGAGAATTTCCTCAACCACTTCCTGTTCCTGAGAGACTCTAAGTTGTAAGTTTTCTCCATATTGTCTGTGATGTACTTTGATCTATAAAGCCCAATGTCGTGATTCCACAGTGATGACTAGCGGACAGCGGATTTGCTACTCCCTGCCTTAAGCATGGTGGATTCCTGCTGTTTCTTGTTAGAGTGGCACCACGAAGACAACATAAGCATGTTTGGAGCATTTCCTGTGGGGACGAGATCTTACTGAGGCCAAGGTAGTGATTGCTTTTGTATTGAAATATTATATTGCAGTATTATATTGGGGATATTCGAGGATGCCTCTCATATATGTGAGGAAAGACCGAAGAAACTAACTTACAAATACCTATAAACAGAAGCTGTGGTAAATCCAGCAGATACATAACTCTAGAGCAAGTGGTGTTCCTTGGTATTTGAATACCTTTTTGGTTGTTGCTTTCGTAAATCATGTGTATTCCTGTGTCTGTTCTACTGTAGGTCTTGGTTACATTAGACTCCTCCAGCTCATTTCCTTTGCTTTCTCAATCCACTGTGACTTCAAGGAGCTAGAGAAGACTCTGCAGGAGTAGGGGGGGAGGTAAGGGGAGAAGCAAGCATTTGCAAGGGGGGGAAGATCCTGCGTAATTTATGGGAAGGGCAGGGGTTTAAGAGTACATGCAAAATGGCTGAGATGTGTTGATAAAAGACATCCTTGCAGCCTGTTGGAATTGCTGCTCCCCATTTTCTTCGGGCTAGCAATCTTGTGACAGCCACTATGGTATGTGTTTTTGTTGAGCATTATTAGTGTATTTCTGGTAGTTCAAGTGCTCAACGGACAATATAATAATATAACCACATCCACATGTGGGAAGCATTCCTGCCTTGGAACATCACATCCTACTAGGGCTAGCGCTTTGAAATAACATTTTGTGCCCTATGTAGATTTTGCAAAATAGCTCTAGTTGTACATTTTACTTTGAGCACAAGCCTTTTTAAGGTTCCATTGACAAGAAAAAATAAATGCCCCAGTTTCTCCTAAAAAAAAAAAAAAAAGGAGAGGTGTGAGGAAAAAAGGAGAAATTCCTTAATGAGATTGTACCAATAAACATACAGAGGAACTGAATTAATTTTCTGTATTATTGATCACGCTATGTTTCTTATAACAGAATTAAGGAGTGTTCAGAGATAAACAGACCACCCAGTTATGATAGGACACAAATTGGCATTGGAAGGCAGCTTGGAGAACGGCCAAAATGTTTCTGGAGTCCAGGCATGAAAATCAATATGATGTAACTTGCTTGTGAATCTGAAAAAACTTAAAACTGCACAGCAATTCACCGATTACACTGCAGTGTAATGGTGATGACAGAAAAAGCTCTGCAGCCTGGTTTGCACCAATGCAAACTGCCACCACAGGCAAGCATGGACTGTCAGTAAAGAAGGATTAAGGAGCAGAGGGACAGATAAGGTCATCAAGGTGCATAATTATGTGGTTCCAGATTATCCTTTGTATTTGGTACATGCCTGTCACACGGATTTTATTTATATAGTGTTGGTGACTCCTTCTGTGATTGATTTATATCCCCTACCCCTTCTAGAATTTATTTATGAGATGGAATAGGAATGAGTCCCTGTGTGAGCCCACAGGCTGCAGGAACAGCCATAAACCCACAGATGAAATGCACAGTAAATTTATTCTCCTTACCTCGTGACCCAGGGGATCTCCGTAGCAGCACTTGGGCAGAGGCATGCAAGCAGGGATGCAGGCACTGTGGAGCTCAGTCCTAGGAAGGGAAAGGAAGGGAAAGGGAAGGGAAAGAAAGGGAGAAAGAGAGAAAGAGAAAATCTTGCAACTGCTGCTTTTGCCTGTATATATCAGGGATTTTCTCAGGCACAGTTTTCCACTGTGCTTTGATCTTTCCCACAGCAGGGCAGGAATCTCAACGATGTTCAGTAAGGTGCCTCTGAGTCTCTCACAGGCCTGTGTTATCTAAACGCAGACATTCTACCCGACAAGCACACAGAGCTGAACAACAATTAGTATGATATATGTGGTTTTTGACACCCCAGCTGCAAGTCACTTGAGCGTGTTTACAATCCTCCTCGCCAATGTTCCGTTGCATTCCCACAGTCCCCATGAGACACAGAGTACCATATGCTACCTATGGAGCCTGATGTTAGCGAATGCTTGCTTTTTGATTCCCCCTCTGCCCCCAGATTTATACTGTGTATGTTTCAATTTAAGTGCAATGGTACTGAGTCAGTGTCAGTAAAGCCCGTTTGGGCTGAAAGCTCCTTGAATGATTGCCAGCGTCAGATGATTTGAAATGGGCTTTGAGATTGCTACTTGTAAATATATCAGCTACTGAAGCTCAGAAGGAGTTCCTAGTTGATGTTCTCCATAAGAAATGACTTTAAGGATGCTCTTCTAGATATGTACGTGTATACATAGATATGGTACATAAAAATCTACCTAATAGAAATATTGAACAAGGCTCCAAATCCTGCAGATATTTATATACCATGCAACATTATTTATTCTTAATAGTCTTTATTTTTATTAGTTTTATTTTTAGTTTTATTTAATAGTCTTATTTTTGTGGCACAAACTGTTTATATTTATGTAAAACTGTTAGAAAATTATGATCTGTGCCCAAGTTTCCTCATTATTTGGGGATTTTTTTAATGTGCAATGGATAGATTAAACAGATTTTTTTCAGCAAGATTTTTAATGATGCTTGACAGCAGAAATGCTTTTTTTAAAAAAAAAAACAAAACAAAACAAAAAACGCAGTAAGGAACTGAAAGCTTTTGGTTTTCCGCCACAAACCATTGAAAATTTAAATTTCCAAATGCATTAGCATTTGACTAATTTGAAAAATCATTATGTTTTAGATGACACATTTGAAAGAACAGAAATACGAAGGACTTCCATAACTCAGTTGCATTTCTGTTTTCTCTAGCCAGTGCTGCTGGGAAGACATGTGTGCAAAGACATTCTTAACATGAAACTTCAGGATTGCTGGTTTATTCCAGTTGTCATTAGTCCTGGTCAGTAGCTGGGACAAACAGTGGGATATAAGGAAATATTAAATGATTCTTCTGATCTGAGGGTTGCTGTTAGTGGGCTGGACAGTGTGGGAACTGTTTAGGTGGTGTACAGCCTGGTGACTTCCTGCACGAATTGAGAATCCCTTAGCCAGATAAACAATCTTAGAGCTGAACATTGGCTGTATTTTCCATACAAAACAGAGAGAGAATTGCCTTTGTATTGGTGTACTAGTGAGGAATATAGTGTATGTGAAAATGAAATATAAGTTGAACCAAAGCACTTGAGTGTTGACTAGACTAATAATCAAATTCATTAACTACTCCGTGCTTCAATAAGAGATTGGTCTACTCAGACTATTAAAGGAACAGCCTAAGTTGTCGTCTGTAAAAATAATTCCTAGTATGTAGCATTAATGTTATATAAAGGCAGAAAAATATTGCAGCTTGTTGTTTCAAATTCCAGTCTTTATTTCTGTTATTACACTAAATTCAGTCAAACTGTGAATATTATTCTGCAGTAAATGTTCTCGGTATTTCTTTTTTTTGTTGGTTTGTTGTTGTTGGGACTCTGCGTACTTCTAGGGGGTTTCTCTGCCTGGGCTTAAAGCCAACTTAAAAAAAGCACAGCTGGTTGTTTTGGGGGAAAAGAGACAGAAGAAGCCTTGGTGAAAGATACCTGCAAAACCAAGGTTCAGTGGGGGCTGCTGCCATATCTGCTTGGGAGCTGCTTTAAGCTGAGGCTCTTGCATGTGGCCCTGCCCGAGCTACATTGCGGCTGCATTGCAGCCATACGTGTATCTGACACTTGATCCTGACCCTGACCTGTGATCTTGTTTTCCCAGCTTAATTTCAGCCTTGCCTCATCCCTGTGGGGGTGCCCGAGCCCTGGGTTTGGGGCTGCCCCCTGGCCTGCCCTGATTTCTCACTGGGGGTGACAGTGGGACCAGCCCCAGCTGGTGAAGGCCCTGCCCAGCCGACCTTGGGAATCTCCTTGGCTCCTGACCCTGGGCCCTTGGGGAGCAGCCCCAGCCCGTGGTGTTCCCCACGTCATCCACTTAAGCCTTAATCAAGAGTATTTGTTACCAAAAATAAAACCCATCTGATTTCTAGATAGTGTTACATATGAATTTCACAGAAACTGTAGAACTACTCTCATATTTTATAAAGCATTCACTGTGAAACCAGTGTGGTGCAGGAAATGATGTAAGTGCTCCTGAAAGCAGGTCTTCGAACTTCCAAAATGTTAAGGAATGGCCTCAAGTTGCACCAGGGAAGGTTTAGACTAGATGTCAGGAAGCATTTATTTACAGAATGGGTTGTTGGGCATTGGAATGGGCTGCCCAGGGAGGTGGTGGAGTCCCCATCCCTGGAGGGGTTTAAGAGTTGGGTTGACACAGCGCTGAGGGAATCTGGTGTAGTTGGGAACCATCAGTGCTAGGTTAACGCTTGGACTCGATGATCTTCAAGGTCCTTTCCAACCTAGTTGATTTCTGTGTGATTCTGTGAAAGTTTTGGAAATTACATATATGCACACTCATAGTAATAAAGTGTATTCCTTTTAAAGATGTCGCATGCTTGCATGAGAGAGAAATTCCAGAAAGGTTTGTTGAAATCTGTTATAATAGTGGCCATCAAACTGTTTAGTGATTATAGCATTAAAAAATATGTATTAGAATAAAAAATATGCTTATCCCCACCAGTTTTTGATACTTATTGCCCACCATGTATTTCAGGAGTATTTCTACTGATCTGAAGTATTCTTGATCTTGTTGAGAGCTTTTTCCAAGGTTTGTATATTAATAATAATTCATAGATCTAATGAGTTTACAGTGCTTTACTTTTTCAGAGTTCTAAAATAGAATACTACATATATCCATTATTCCTTTTCTAAGAGCTCCTCACACAGTACGTAGGAAAATATAATCTCTAAATATTTAAGAAATAATCGGAGGGAGTTTTATAGCCAGCTTTTTGAAAATTGTCTTATTTTATGTTTTGTTTTTTATTTTTTTAAAGTCATCTTGTTTAAGGTAATTTGAACCTAATTTTCAGAAGGACTTGTGCCACTGTTCAGTCAGTTGAGCAGCATGAAACATTTGGTATGTGTTCATTAGTGACAGTTAGATGAGAGGGCATGTTGTAGTTTACTACAGTCTGTAGACTGAGCTCCTAAAATACAGGAAAAGTATAATGTGACAGATGAATTCACGTGTGGACTTAAGCATTCGGAGCTAACCAGAGCTCAGCTATTGAACCTCCCTGTGGCCTTCAGCTCACCACTTAGCTTCGGTTGTAAACAATGAATAGCGTTACCACGGACTATTGTTTGTAAAACAAACAAACAAAAAATGTGGGATTCTGGGAAAAGTTACAGTAAATGCAGAAAGGACTGCAAAGTGTGTTTTAAGGGTATACAACCTAGCAAAATTAGGAAGAATGTTTCAGCAGTCCTGGTTTTCAGCATGCCGTATAATTTGGTACTTCATAGATTCTTACACCGTCCTTCTCACCATGGTGTTTGAACTGCTTTCAGTAGTGTTTAAGCGATGTGAGTAACTTTTCTTTTTTTTTTTTTTTTATAAAAACATGTGGTTTCTTCTTTCAACCACAGTGTCCCTCCCTCTCCCTCATGTAATAAGGTCTCATCCTGGTTCTCAGGAAGCCAGTTCATGACACTTAGTGTCTCTGTGTGTGTACATATGTATTTATGCACACATGCTCTATAAATAAACACGTGTTTTTCCCTAAGTTGATCAAAGAAACTGAATCTTGCTCAAGTTAATAAAGCAAAGTCAGTGTTTTAAACTCAGATACGAAGAGTTAAATAAATATGCAAGATCTTTTTTTTTTCTTCTTTCTGCAAACTCTTTTAAAAAAGGCAATCCCTTCTTTCCAAACATTCTATCTGACTACATCAAGTTTCCCAAGAGAAGTTGTACCCTAGAATAATATTTCAAATGTAACATATTGAGTGTTTAATTTTAATTCTAACTATTATGGGATATTGATACTGGGGAATTTCAAATTTCTCTGTAGCAAGGAGTAATTAATCTTGTATAAAAAGAAAAAAAAAGCATTTTTAGAAGCATTTTATCCTGTAATAATGCAGCTGAAAAATGCTGACTATGAGGGAATGGGTTTCTTTGTATTTATGCTGATGGTCTTTTAAATTCACAACCTCAAAACTAAAATCCAACAAACCTGAAACACATGCAATCACTTGTATTTCCTATAAAATTTTTTCAAACTATTTTAGTATCATTTAATTTCCCTCCTCTTATGTGCGATAAGGGGATTTGCTTCACTCAGGTTGGAGAGGACTTGAGGAGGTCACCCTGTTCAACCTGCTCAAAGCAGAGTCAACACTGAATTCAGACCACCTTGCTCAGGACTTTCTTAGTCTGGTATTGGAAACTTCCAAGAAAGGAAATTTCACAGCTTCTTGTGGCAACCTGTTGTATTGCTTCACTATCCTCACTAGCTGGTTGGAACAGCTATTGTTTCAAGTCATGACCAATACATTTCAAGTATTCCAGGTGCAGACTAACAAATGATGAATAAAGAGGAACGGTTATTTCCCTTAACCTAGCTGTGCTTTTTTTTTTATACAGGCCAGGATGCTGTGAGCCTTCACTGCTGACTGGTGTTCACTCCATTGTCCACCAGGACCCCCAGATCTTATTCATGGTGCTCAGTCGCCTGTGGGTCCCATCCTGTGCAATGGCAAAAGGTTAGTCCAGCTAAAGTGCAGGGCTTTGTGCCAGTCTGTGTTGGACTTGATGTGGTTCCTGTCAGTCCATTCTCTAGCTTGTCTAGAGGCAGCCCTGCCCTCGAGCATTGAATATATTTGTGGGATGAACACTGTAGCTATTCATTACTGGTTTATGCTGTCATTCAGTTTTAAAGAAAAATATCACATCCAATGGAAATTTTAGAAGAAATTTTGGTGTGATTATGAGATGGAAGTTTTAGGTTTATTGGAATCTGCAACTTCTATTACAGAGAGTAATTATTTTCTTACTAGCTACAGTGATTAGGGCCTTCATTTTATACTTAATTTCAGGGAGAACTAATAGCTCCATATTATCTCCCATAAAGCTGGAGCATGAGATGGCCTGAGAGAGGAAGGGGCATTGGCTTGGCTCTGGCTTGGTGAACAGAGTGCCACCTACTGAGCGCAGGTCCCAGTCCCGCCAACCTGAGTATGCAAAGCACAGGCTTTAATCCAAATTCTGACTCAGTGCAATCCAGTTTATTAATGACATGTGCCGATGTTGTTACAGCACCAGATGTGTCTGTACAAGCCAAAGAAGCCTAAGATTTTTATATAGTGATAGCTAGGAAATCTTCCAATCTCCTCATTCAGTGTAGTAATAAAATAACGACATGACAGGGAATATATGTCATATATACATATATATGTATTAAATTTTGTTACTGTAAAACGGACGGAAGGGCAGCGTGCATGCAGTCTCAGCACATGCTGAGAAAAGGAGAAAAAAAAAGCATATCAAGAGCTGCTACAGCAAGAAAGAAAATGATGGTGGCTAGTTCTGGAGGAGATGTAAGGACTGTGTAACATGAGGAACAGAGAAACAATTGAAGAGTGCATAATGGCAAAATCTTTACAAAACACTTCATAAAACTGTTTATTACTCAGTAAGATAAACAGCGTACAACGCTATAAACACTCCACATGCCATGGTGCCTTTGAAGTGTGCTGCTTCTATTTCAGATCTATAAACTGGCTGGTGTACCTACAGCCTTGCCCGTTTTTGTTCTTATCCCATTGGGTAATGTTTGGGAAGGAAGTACCATCCTTTCCTATAGATGTTGCATCTTACAGTGTGTTTCAGCTTTGTCCTTGTAGTTACTATGTTGTCTTTGGCTCAGTAAAGACGGATTCCTGTCTACCTTCTACATTATTTGGGAGGCAACTTTGGAAAACAAACAATGTTAAAATGTCTCCTAGGCAAGTGTAGAAAGCATACTCCCCGGTCTGTGCAATGTTAGCTTCTGTAGCCAGATGATGTTTCTGCCACTGTCTGCTGCTTTTATGTGATTATGAATTGTGAAACATGAGACGCTGCTCATCATTTTGCTTCTCAAACTCCAAACAGGTGAGGTACAAGTGTTTGTTCTGGCTGAAAGGAAGAGCTACACTTTGCTGTTACAACAGGATTTAGTCATAGAGTGGTGTTTTGTTTTGGTTTGTTTTCTTTTTCCCCAAGAAAATTGAGATAAGCAATTTCAACCTTATCAATATCTGATGTGCTTCATGGGAGGCACTGATTGCCTAACATAACAGAGAAGGAAACAACTCCAGTTAATGGAATCTGTCTTTTCAGTCTTTAGGGCAAATTAAACTAAAGTTTGCCTTTGTGTGCCTTTGACTTCAGTTTTAGTCATTGTATGTTCAGTTATTTAAGCTTTCTTCACGTCTTAGGTAGTTTATGAGCAGTTGCGAATATTCTTTCTGTATTGATTTAAATAGTTATTGACCTATTGCTCCTGTCTATTCAGGAGTTCAGAAAAGCAGATGCACTAATGGTACTATAGAAGTTTGCCATGAATGTCCAATTGAGAGAGTGTTGCATCAAATTATACCTTTGGTTGTGAAAGAAAAAAAACCCCTTTACCAGTACTACCTGTGGCTACTATCTTGCTCTTCACCTCCATGTGTCTCACTGTTATTCTCTGCACCGTGACAGGAAAAGATTGGGTGTGGTAATTAGACTACTGACCCGGGACTCATCAGAGAAACCTGGTTATGCATCAGATACGTTCTGTAGTCATGTGTTAAGTCACTTCTCTGGACTCCTGTTTCCACACATCTTGAGCTTCCCTGGTAAAAAGTTCTGCTTAGAAGCCAGGAACTATTGTGAAAGAAATGCAAGCTAGAGTCAGCAGTGCAAAAATTACTTCGATATTTCACTCTGTAAAGCAATACATGCTAGAAGGGAAACTGGCCTGCTGCTCTGAGAAAAAAAAAAAAAAAAAAAAAAGCCTGGATGAAGGTAAACACGTGGCAACGTGCATGTTGGGGAAAAATGTTTGGCGTTTTCATGTTGCTTGCCATGCTTCACTGAATGAGAGTCTACTCTGTGAACGCTAAATGTCATTTTATATTCTGAAAGTTTTGTTGATTGTGAACAAACTGGAGTATTAGAGCAATCTACAGGGGGAGCAATGACGAAGCAGCTTCTTTATTTCCTGCCTTAAGAGGAGCAGCATGCCTGCATTTGCCAGCACACTGTGGGTTTTTTATTCGCACACCAAGGCAACAGAGGAAGCCATATTCCAGTAGACAAACTGGACGTTTTCAGACACCTCAGCAGTATGTGTTCTTGTGAAAGTAAATTTCAGCTTGCTTGTGGAAAAAAATTTCGGATGTTTGGCCAACAGTGATGACCTGAGGATCTGTATTAGATATAAATCCTTTCTCCCTTCCCTGTTTTTCCACTTTTTCTTCAGAAAAAGATGTGAAGAAAAAAAAAGGGGCCAAGAGGCAGACACAGCAAACCATGCTTTCCTCTGGTACAAGTGGTTCCTTAAAAACAAAAAGCTTTTAGTTTGTTTTGCTTTAGAGAGAAGGGCTAGGAGGCCTGATCACGCTGGGGAGGCCGGCCCTGAACCGGGGGCACCAAACCGGCGAGTTTTGCCCGGTGTTGAACGCGGCAGAATTTTGCAGGGCTTGGCTGCCAAATCAGTGCTGCAAACTCTCTCCCCGCCCCTTACTCGTTGGGGATTTCCCCTCCTTCCCTGCAAGCAGCAGCCGAAGCCAAGCGCGGAAGGTCAAGCCAAGATCTGTGAAAAAGGGCAGGGGGGCCAGCCTGGTGCCAGGAGGAGACGCTGAAGGAGGGGAGGAGGAGGAGGAGGAAGGCGGGAGGAGGAGGAGGAGTTGAGGAGCCTGGGCCCGGGAGCCTCCCCACTTACCGCACTAGGAAGTGACGCTTTCCCTGAGTCCCGGAGAGAAAGAAACAAAGTTTGGTGGTTCCCCCCCCCACAACTCCTCTTTTTCCCTCCGCTTTGCTCCTTGCTGCTCCGCGGGCGCCCGCCGCCGTCCGTGCCTCGCTTCGCAGGTGAGCAAGCACGTTTTCTTCCCTCCCCTGTTTTCCGCGGGTTTAGTTGTGTGGTGTGTTTATTTTTAATTTATTTTTTTTTCTTTCCTGCACGATTTGCTTCCGTTTTCCTGCCATTTTGGACCGGGGGTGTCTTTCCTGAGGGTTTTTTGGTTTTTTTTTTTTTTTTTTT